GTAGTTACTGGACATGGCATAGGCATTTTGGTGGGGTTTGTTGAAGGAGGGCGGCGAGGGGGCGTCGTAGCTGCCGCCCATGGGGTGCAAGGCGTTGATGAAGCCGGCGGAGGACTGCATGGGCTGGGGCGGGCTGCCCGTGGGGGAGGGCCCTCCCGAGGAGGAGCCCACGCCTTTGGACTTCTGGTCCTTCTTGTACTTCATCCTCCTGTTCTGGAACCAGATCTTGATCTGCCTCTCGCTGAGGTTCAGCAGGTTGGCCATCTCCACGCGCCGGGGCCGGCACAGGTAGCGGTTGAAGTGGAATTCCTTCTCCAGCTCCACCAGCTGGGCGCTGGTGTAGGCCGTGCGGGCCCTCTTGGAGGCCGAGGAGCCCGGAGGGCTTTTCTCGCCGCCGCAGGTTTCTGCCGGGGCCCCCGAAATGAAATAAAAGATAATTACTGACACGCAGAAATTGAATGCATCGCTTCTTAATAAATCCTGGAACGGGCGCGAGAGCTCGACCCCCCCTCCCCCTCCATCACCCCTTCGCATTAGCCTGCACTCCATAATCATGTCATTTATTAAGAGTTCTGTTCTCCAAAGCTGCCCCTGCTTTATGAAAATTTGATCATGTCATGTAGAAAAGGATTCCAGGGCCATTTATTTAGGAGTCGATTATTTCCAGCAGATAATTTCGAGAAAATAATATTTGGCAGAGGGGGGGGGCAGGCGCTGCAAAGCCAATTAGTGCTCACACGGGGCAGGGCTGGGAGGTGTTTGGTTTGCTGAGGTGTGAATGCACCCTCAGACACACTCAAACACGCACACACATCCTGTGTGGCTCTTGTTTGTGCAACAGAAATATTTGTGTGTCTGGTATTTGTGCAACACAGGTATTTGTGTGCACGTTGCCCAACACCAGGTCACGTTTGTACCCCCCTTTCTGTGAGAGAAACGTGAGGTAACAGCTAAATTACACTAATGTAGGGTGAAGTGTGTGCCACTAAGTTCACACCAATGTATTTGCCAGAACAGGGATATTCCCAACGTGATTTTTTATTTTCTTTTGGATCCTGTCAGCCTTTGGTGTGTCTCCGTGCAAGGAGGTGCAGATGTTTGTGCATCTGCTCCCCGGGTGCCCACACACCCCGTGTTCGCTGCCATGTCTGAGGGCAGGGAGCTGGGAGGAGAACAAACAGCTTTAGCAGCCCCAGGCTGAGCAGGTGGGTGCCCATCTCCACGTTCCTGTGTCTGCAGGGCAGGACATCACCTGTGGGACATCACCTGTGGGAGGGACATCACCTGTGAACAACCACCTGCCCGCGGGGGTCGGGTCATGTCGGACACAAACCGAGTGTGCGGGGCCAGAGCTGCAAGATGGGCTCATGCCCAGCGCCAGGATCCTCTCTGCATCCTCTCTGCATCCTCTCTGGATCCCTTCTGCATCCTCTCTGTCCTCCCCTCCCTCCAAACGGGCCCCCCCTGACCGGTGGCTCCCCCACCTCGTGCGGGGCAAGCGGGAGAGGGACAGACGGCCCCGAGAGCACCCCC